ACCGTACCATGTTTCAGCACTACACTCACTCTCCTTGAAAACATTCTTTAAACGCTTTGTTCATTTCTCCCTCCATCTTACTTGCCCTAGTTGTCCAGCCCTAATTAGGCCTTACTCTGCTCCTAAACCCAAGTAGCTACACTTTGCTCAAGAAATGGAGAAAAACATGATAGAATTCTGCTAACTGGTCCCATTTTGGACCAAAAATATCAAATGGCAAATATCACTGCCCATCAAGCAGTCCCACTAATTTCTCTGGTAAATTTGTTTTCCCCTCCCCAAGATGCTCACTTCTCTATCACCATTTCCTTTTCCCTCCTACTTGCTACTACTTATACTTGCTACTTGATACTTACAATGACTTATTCCATCCCTCTGCTGCTGACCTCACCTCCGTCTCATGCCACATTGAGGAATCCGCAGGCTATCTGACAAGAACTACTCGTATCATCCTCCTGCTGCCAGTGCTATCAATCCAGCTGCATCTGAATCTACGTGCTATGTGTTCTCTCCTGTTAAAACTGAAGGAATTTCCTCACTTCAGCTCGATCATGAACATCGGCAGAGAAACACTATCTATCACCCAGCTCAAGCAAAACAAACAGAAGATGTTCCTGACCTCATGTCCTCTTCCAGCTCCCGTCCATTCATCTTCTCCTCTTTGCTATAAAACTTCTCCCAGGAGTTGTCTCCAGGCATGTCTCCACTTTCTCACCTCCCATTCTCTCTTCAGCCGACTCTGAGTATAGTTTCATACCGGTTTTTCTTACCATATACATTATGCAGGAGGGACACGGAGTGTGGTTGCTAAGCTTAGACTTGGACCTCTTGAGTTCTAATCCCTGTTCTGTGACTCACTAGGTATAAAAGCAGCATAACTTCTCTGTGCCTCAGTTTCCTCAGCTATAAAATGGGGATAATAGAAGTAACTATCTCATGGGGTTGCTGTAAGGATTAAAAGAGCACATATAAAGCACACAGGATACTGCAGGCGCATAGCAAGTATTCAATATGTGTTTGCTGTTGAGGTCTATAGTGACCCTCCTTCACCGTCTCACATCCACTAATGCTGGCTCTCTCCTGCTCTTATCCTCAAGCAGCACCAGACAGAGTTCACAACGCCCCACTTCTAACACTTCTACTGTGGCTTCTGTGACATCACATCCTACTGGGTTTCCTGCTACTTCACTGGCTGCTCCTTCTCAGGATCCTTTCTGGCTGCTTGATTTTTAATATTGGAATACTCAGCCCTCTCTTTTTACTATCTAAACTCGTCCTAGGGGCTGGCCCCGTGGCTTAGCGGTTAAGTGCACGCGCTCCGCTACTGGCGGCCCGGGTTCGGATCCCAGGCACACACCGACACACTGCTTCTCTGGCCATGCTGAGGCCGCGTCCCACATACAGCAACTAGAAGGATGTGCAACTATGACATACAACTATCTACTGGGGCTTTGGGGGAAAAATAAATAAATAAAAAAATAATAAAAATAAAAAAAATAAACTCGTCCTAGGTAACCTGATCCAGTTCCATGCTTTTAAATAACACCTATGTACTGATGTTGCTTAAATTTTTATCTCCAACCCTGGCTCTCCCTTGAACATCAGGCACAAATATCTAACCGCCATCTCCACCAGGATGTTATGTTGGTACCACAAACCTCACACATCTAGGACAGAATTCTTAAAGATTCTCCTCTCCTCATCTCAGCCCATATGCCTGCTCCTATCACATCTTCTGATTTCCCGTACGCCTGCTCCTATCACATCATTCACCCAATTGATCAGGCCTAAAAACTAGAAGTCACATCTGATTTTTTCCTCCTTCCCTCAACCTGACCTCCAAATGTTAGTGGTCCTGTTTGCTCCACCTCCAAAATATATCCCAACTCCATCTCTACTTCTTACCATGTCACTGCTGCCACCTTCATCCAAACTATCACGATTTCCTTCCTGGATACTGCAAAATCCTCCCAATGAGTCTCCCTGCTTTGATTCTTGGTCCCCAACAAGCCAACTTCCTCACAGCAGCCAGAGTCATCTCAAAGTATAAACCAGATCCTATCAATTCCTGGCTTAAAACTTCTGACGCTTCCCAATACAACTAGACTAAAATCTGAACTCCCGAACGCAGGATTATACAGGACCTGGCCCTGCCTGACTCTCCAGCCTTCACTCCTGCTACTTCCCCATCACTCTCTCCACTCCAGCCACACTGGCCTTTTTTCAAACACACCAAACTCATTTCCACCTTAAGGCCTCTGTACTGGCTGTTTTCTCTGCCTGGAGACCTCCCTCCCCAGATTTAGCAAGGTCAGCTCAGCTGCACATTACCAGCTCAGAGAAGCCCGTCCACCTAAAGTAGTGGACCCTCTCCTCCACCCAGTCACTAGTTATCCCAATACCCTGTTTTATTTCTCTTATAGCCCCTACAGCCAAATAAACTATTTATTTGTTTAGATGTTTAATAGCTGTTTCCTGTCACTGTCATATATGATCCCATGAGGCAAGCAGGGACCCTCTCTTAGTCACAGATGAACCTCCAGCATCTAGAATACTAGCACATAGGAAGTATTCAATAAATATTTGAATCAATTTGAAGAAAATGAAAACAATGATATTTACTTATTACTTTTAGCATGGTGTAAATGAAAGTTCACCCCAAGCACTGACAAGGTAACTTATTTTTGATATACCATCAGTCAAGATGCGTATGATAACCAAAGTCAGTCATTACACAAATCAATTATCACTAAAGAAAAGACTACTGGTACATCTTATCAGAATTACCATACAAAACAGAAACAAATCTGGGTTTTTAGGTACTTCCATTATTATTTTATACCTTCCATGATGTTTCTAAATTAGATAAGGTATTAAACATTGAAAAAAATGAGGCACCTTGCAGGTAAGTAGACATAAAGCCCAGACTCAAATACAGACTCAGGTCTACAACACTTGTGTCCTTCTATCGGATCATGCATTTGTTGACATTATAGGTTACCTAGATGTTTTAGAGTAGTTCCAATCAAAGTAATAGTAGAAGTCAAAGAGATATTTTTAAAACCGCAACAGAAATTTAAAATACTGTAATGTAGCCTGAGTGCCTAAAATATCAAGTATCTTGACTTTAAGAAACATTGATTCAGGTTAAAAACACTCATCTCCTGGTAATCAGATGTGTTGATTGGTTTGAAGCAGTCTTTGATTAACAAAAATGAGCTTTCAATAATAAATGAGTTTGGAAGTCAAAATCTTAAAATGTATTATTGGGTAGTAAAACAGGACACAACAAGAGTACAGGATCAAGTCCAAATTCTGCAGCAGGCAGAGCCTTTCACTCTAACCTCTGCTCCTCTCCCAGCTACTCCTCACCACATGTCCATGAGTGTGGTCAGCCTCATGACCATCTAGAAAATTCCTGCTTACCTTTTATCAGCTGAGATGTCACCTCCTCTTTGCAGCCTTTCTTAATCCCTTCCCAGGCTGAACTGTTTCTTATCTCTGTTCCCAGATGAACTCTGACAAGATGTTCAGCATAGTGTATTACAGCATTACTCTGTTACCTGTTTTCCTGGCGAAGCTGTAAACGTTGGCTGAATTAAAGAAATATAGCATTTAAATTCCTGAATCAACATGCAAAACATCTGTCACAGTAAATGTTCAATTAATATCGCTCAAACTAATTAATTACTGATTGAATGAAAAGTCTTACTGGGATTATGGTTATAGCTAAAAGTTGCCTAAATGACTTAGTGTACTGTGTGAAATTGAAGGTTTCTGAGCTGTAACAACTATATCTAAAACCCCCAGGAATTCAGGCTTATATACACTACGTTTTTTACACACACATTTATTGCTACCCTGGCAAATCCTACATTCTCTCTGTACAGGTGAGTTTGCTCAAGTAGTGATTGTCTGGACGTTTCACTGTATCTAAGAGGTTCTGAGAACCTCTTCTTCCAACAAACCCTACTGACTCCTCCCAAACTGTTCTCTGCTTAGCCGTGAACTTGCCTAGATTTCTGATGACAGGAACACCTTTCAAAGATCCTATCACGTTGAGCAACACCACCTCACATCAATTGCCAGAAACTTGCAGATGACTAACCTAGCAGAAACATGGAATATGTTCTAAATAGGAATCACTTTTAAGGGAACTTACTGAACTTTATATTGCCACAACAAATTTTCATTTCTTGATGGTCCCCTAAAAAAAGACAGACTTTTAAAATTTAATACAAAGTGCTGAGTGCTATTTTAATAATCCTTTGAACTACTATCCTTAACATGTATTTATCAATAAGATCTGTGATCCCAACTTCAGTAATATATCACTTAACATTTAACATTAAAAAACAATGCAGTGGGCCGGCCCCGTGGCTTAGCGGTTGAGTGCGCGCGCTCCGCTGCTGGCGGCCCGGGTTCTGATCCCGGGCGCGCACCAGGGCACCGCTTCTCCTGCCACGCTGGGGCCGCGTCCCACATACAGCAGCTAGAAGGATGTGCAGCTATGGCATACAACTATCTACTGGGGCTTTGGGGGGAAAAAAATAAATTAAAAAAATTAAAAAAAAAAGAAAGAAAGAAAAAAAAAAAAACAATGCAGTGATAATCATAATTTCAACCTTAACAACCTAACTGATCATAATTAATGTATCAGTATTTGTACAAAGTATAGCAAAATATTAGTGTCTCAAGATTACTATATCTTAATCTAAGATCCAGAGCACAATACAATGTTTTAAAATTTTCCTTTCAAAAACCCAACCTTCATTTCTTTGTTACAAAACATGCCTCCAGTTAGTTACTTATAAATATTTACCTAGGGAAAAATATACCAAAAGCCATCAACAAAGACTGTTTTTGATTACTCTAGGATTCTAAACCGTTTAGATTCTTCTAAGAGTTATCTTGAGCATGCAGTGTAGAAATGCTTGTTTGAATAATTTAAGTTTAATTTCATTATGTTTGTAAATATAAACACAAAAAACAACACAGAGTATGAAAGAACACAAGAAAAATTGTTGGTTTTATTGGTATTATAGTATAGTCTTAATACAAGCTAAATACAAACACAATTGTTAGATATTCAGTCACTTATCTTGTGAAACAATATGCCAAGATCAACCTGAGGCATTTATAAAAATGAAAATGTATAAAATTCTTTCCACAATTAACTCTAAGGACTCCACATACAAATGCAAAAATTTGAAGTTGTCAGTAACCCCATCAAATGTTGAGCTATGGACTGAGCAGTAAAAAATGATTTCTGATTTTGAAATTAAATAGCTCCAGGTAAAACCATGCAATTTCCCACATCTACTATCTTTGTATTCTGCACAGAGTCCCAAGGCCAAGATGGTTTCTGGCTTTACGAACCACCAGAGACGATGGCCTGCGCGGTTGACCGGGCACAGGCCTTGGAGTCTTCTTGCTGGATAGATCCTTAGCTTCTTTGGGAGGAGGCATATGAATTGGTTTCCACGGAATTGGATTATAAAAGGCTGGTTCTGGATAAGAATTTCCACTGTAAAAACCTAAAATTATTTTAAAAAATCAGAACAAAGTAAAATAAGAAAAACATTTCTTGAGATTAAAGAAACTATTTATTTTTAAATTGCTAGAAAAATGTTAAAATATCAAAAAGGCAAAAATATTATTGATAAACCAATTTGATTCAATTAAAACTTGAACTCTCGAATATTTTCAAACAATACTTTTCAAATACAGTAAATATTGCAGTAAAAATTAAAATATAAATAATTCTAAAAGTCCAAAGAATGTCAATGTGAAAACCTATACACATAAAAACTCACATAAAAATTTTACGAAGAAATTAATTCTAGAACCCTTAAACTGAACAACATTTTCATTTTCTTAACTCAGTCTGGGAAACCGCTGATTGTATTCTAGTTTCCCCTAGTCAGAGTTTATAGAAAAAATTTTTTTCTTGCATATGTAGCTGAAGGGAATCAAGATTCTTGTTTAGAATCACTGAAATTTTAAATTACTGTCACCCAAATTTAATCAGATTTCATATTATCACTGTAATTTTGATTATTAATTAAGAGCAGTAGAGCACTTGCGGATAAATGTTTATTAGAACAAAGCTCATTAAAAATGCAAAAAATTTAATTAAATAATCCTTTATTTTAGCAATTTAGTCATTACTATGTATAGTCCCACCAAAAGTTTTAACTTTACTGTCCAAATGTTTGGTTAAAACCACTGCTTATTACTCTTTTTTCGAATAAGAAAGAAGAAAAAGGAGCAGGCCGTGCTCAGCAGCTGTAATGGATGACCTCTGTGACGTGGGGGAGAGGCCCAACCCAGACAGCAGGAATGTGTCATTCAGATGGCGGCAGCCCACTCTGACTGCGTAGACATGTCAACACACACTTCACCAACATGGTCAAAACAAAGTCTGGAATACGTTCTACTGTGTGAACAAAACAGAATGGGAGTCTTTTCAATAATAAATCACTTAAACAAGTGAAGGCAGCTGTCAGCAAGGTATGAGCTTCCAACACAGAGCACAAAGGAAAACAAGCATCGCCATTTCTAATGAGAGCAGCCTTAAGGCCAGCAGGTCCTGGGTCCGGCTCGTGTGCTGTCTAGTATTCCATCCTGCAAAAGGACTGCACCAAAGACACTGGAAGCTCTCCCTTAATGAGGCTTAGAAGAAGGGGAGGAAAAACGACCCCTCAAACATATCCTGATGAAGGCTGTGAAATCCAAGAACTGTAAGAAAATTTTACTTGTTTCTTAACGTTAGAAATCGTTACTTTGCATTTTTGCAACAATAGCCTTTAAAATATATCTGATTTATAGAGAGTGACAATAAATTTGTAGTATCTCCACAGGAATATAGTATGTTATAATAAAACCTTCCAGAAAACAGTAATTTGAAAGAAAAATGATTTTTACACATTTCTATTTCTGTAAAAAGGAAACATAATGTATAACATTTGCTCCTGCAAGCCATACTTATGTAAGCCACATAACATAAAAACCAACCTGTAAGTTTTCCATTGGCATAACCATAGCTCTTCGCAGCTGGACGAGGTTTATTTTTTGCATTTTCCAACCATTCCTTAAACTTTTTTTCTGCTATTTCCTTTTTTTCCTGTAATTCAGCTTGCCGTTGTTTTTCTTTTTCCTTAAAATGACAAGACCAAAGACTCTCCAGGGATGTTCCGTAACTAAAACTTCTGCGCAGATTCCACTGACTCCTCCCCAGTCCCTCCCCACCCCAATGGCTTACTGATCATAAACGCTGAATCATATTTCTATAATTTGAGAGCAAAATTTAACATGATCAGGGAAGTACTATGAAGGTGGATGCCCCTAAACAACAATAAGACATCAAACTCAAGAAGAAAACAGCGGGCCAGCCCCGTGGCTTAGCGGTTAAGTGCGTGCGCTCCGCTACTGGCGGCCCGGGTTTGGATCCCGGGCGCGCACCAACGCACCGCTTCTCCGGCCATGCTGAGGCCACGTCCCACATACAGCAACTAGAAGGACGTGCAACTATGACACACAACTGTCTACTGGGGCTTTGGGGGAAAAAGAGGAGGAGGATTGGCCATAGATGTTAGCTCAGAGCTGGTCTTCCTCAGCAAAAAGAGGAGGACTGGCATGGATGTTAGCTCAGGGCTGATCTTCCTCACACAAAAAAAAAAAAAAAAGGAAGAAAACAGCAATTTGCTGTTTTAAAATAGAACAGTAATTTGTAATAATGTAGTAAGGCTTTCCACCTAAGTGCATCAAAAAATACTGAAGAGCATTAGCAACGATAAAACATTGGAACCTGACTGAAACAATATCAACAGGCTTATTAATATTTCCCAACCTGAGAAAGCCACAAACGCACACTCACTTCTGAAGCGCAGACAGAGAAAAGCAGGGACAGCTCCGTGTGTTTACCTGAGGCTAACACAGGGCCAATTCCCCACTAGAAACGTTTTATGCGATATGGTTGGCACACAGGAACACCAGAGCCATGCATTCTAACTGCTCACTTGAATAAAAATACCTTTTCTTTCTTCTTCTTCTCACATTCTTCAGCTTTTTTTTTCTTTAACCATTCTTGATATTTTTCCTTTGCTTTTTCGTGCAAATGTTCTTTCTCCAGTTGCTTTGCTGCTTTTTCCTCCATTTCTTTATTAATTTTTTGTTCTTTTTCTTTTCTTTTCTTAAATAAAAACAAAAAAAATTTTAACTGGAATATCTGCAATTATCCTCATATGAGGAAAAGTGTTACATACAGTCATTTTCTAAACTTCAGTGATTTTCTTAAAATAGGTGGTAACAGTGGTTGCACAATGTGACTGATGATAATATACACCCGCAATTACCTGGTCAATTTCAGTCTACCAGCTTGGCTACAAGTTTCACGATGGCAGTTACAAAGATCTTGCCTGGGACAGTGTTGAATAAACAGTAGGTGCTTCAATAAAGATTTGCTGAATAACTTAGTGAACAGAAATTACAGCCTGTTAGATTGTCCTGAATCTTAGTGTTTTTTAATGGATGTTTATCCTCACTCTAATATAGGAGCCACATCTGAACACATTTCCTGGACAGTTTGCCAATACAAATACTTGGATAAACCTTCACCATCACTGAGTTACACAGGACAAATAAATAACATTTTGGTGCATTAAATATTGCTATAAGGGCACACAGAGACGAATCTCTGGCTGTGTAATTCTTTTAAGTCTTACATAGACCAAGTTTGATCAGGAGATTGCAGCAATTCAGTTACATCTTCAGGCTCCACTTACAACTCTAGTTCTCTTGCTACTTCCACCACATCTGCAATTACTTCCTCCACTGAAGTCTTGAACCCTTCCAAGTCATCCATGAGGGTTGGAATCAACTTCTTCCAAACTCCTGTTAATGTTGAAATTTTGACCTCTTTCCATGAATTGTGAATGTTCTTAATGGCATCTAGAATGGTAAATCCTTTCCAGAAAGTTTTCAACTGATTCTGCCACATCCATCAGAGGAATGGCCAGCTACAGCCTTACAAAATATATTTCTTAAATAATAAGACTTGAAAGTCAAAAGTACTCCTTGATCCACGGGCTGCAGAATGGATGTGTTAGCAGGCATAAAACAATATTAATCTCATTGTACATCTCCATCAGCGCTCTTGGGTGACCAGGTGCATTGTAAATGAGCAGTAATATTTTGAAAGGAATCTTCTGAGCAGTAGGTCTTAACAGTGGGCTTAAAATATTCAGTAAATCATGTTGTAAACAGATTTACTGTTTACAGTAAATTACTGTCATCTAGGCTTTGTTGTGCCATTTATAGAGCACAGGCAGAGTAGATTTAGCCTAATTCTTAAGGGTTCTAGGATTTTAAGAATGCTAAATGGGTACTGGCTTCAACTTAAAGTCACCAGCTGCATTAGGTCCTAACAAGAAGTCAGCCTGTCCTTTGAAGCTTTGAAGCCAGGCATTGACTTCTCTCTAGCTATGAAAGCCTAGATGGCATCTTCTTCCAAAATAAGGCTGTTTCATTTACACTGAAAATCTGCTATTCACTATAGCCACCTTCATTAATTATCTTAACTAGATCATCTGGATAACTTGCTGCAGCTTCTACATCAGCACTTGCTGCTTCACCTTGCTCTTTTATGTTATGAAGATGGCTTCTTTCCTTAAACCTCACGAACCAAAGTCTGCTAGCTTCAAACTTTTCTTTTACAGCTTCCTAACATCTCTCTGCCTTCACAGAATTCAAGAGAGTTAGGGCCTTGCTCTGGATTAGGCTTTGGCTTAAGGGAATGTTGTAGCTGGTTTGATCTACTGAGACCACTCCAACTTTCTTCATAACAGCAATAAGGCTGGTCGCTTTCTTATCACTCGTGTGTTCACTGGAGTAGCACTTTTAATTTCCTTCAAGAACTTTTTCTTTGCATTCACAACTTGGCTAACTGTTTGGCTCAAGAGGCCTAGCTTTTGACCTGTCTCAGCTTTCAACATGCCTTCCTCACTGAGCTTAATCATTTCTAGCTTTTGATTTAAAGTGAGAGAGGTGTGACTCTTCCTTTCACTTGAAGGGTTATTAATTGGCCGAATTTCAATATTGCTGTGTCTCAGGAAATAGGGAGGCCGGAGGAGAAGGAGAGAGACAGGAGAACGGCCAGTCAGTGGAGCAGTCAGAACACACACAACACTTATTAAGTTCACCATCTTACATGGGTGCAGTTCCTGGCACCCCAAAACAATTACGATAGTGACATCAAAGATCACTGATCATAAACCACCATAATAAATATAATAATAATGAAAAAGTTTGAAATATTGTGAGAATTACCAAAATGCGACACATACATAAAGCAAGCAAACGCTATTGGAAAAATGGCACCAAAAAACTTGTTCGACACAGGGTTGCCACAAACCTTTAATTTGTAAAAAATGCAATATCTGTAAAGTACAATAAAATCAAGTATGGCTTTAAGTATTATACCAATTAAGTCTTATAACCACAATATGAAGTAGATACAACTATGATCTCACCTCATAAATGAAGAAACTAAGGCAAAAAGAGGTTAAGTAATTTGCCTAAGATCACACAAATCACTACAGATCACCCAGACACTGAAATGAGAGAATGTTAAAAACAATTTTATGCCAATAAATTCAATTTAAATGAAATGTCAAAATTCTTTAAAATATACCACTTTACAAAACTGATTCAAGAAGAAACAGAGTATCTGAATAACCCTCTACTTGTAAAAACAATTCAGAACTTAAAACTTCCCCACAAAGAAAACTCCAGCCTCAGAGAGCTTCACTGGTGGATTCCATCAAACATTTATGGAGGAAATAATACCAATTACTACACAAATTATTTTAGAAAATAGAGAAAAAGGGAACACATGCAAGGTCATTTTAAGAGTCCAGTATTACTTTTACATCAAAGCATGGAAATTATAACATAATCTCAGGAATAAGGCAAGAAAACTGCTCTCATCATCAAAACCATGAAAACTTAGGGATACATTTAACAAAAAATGTGTGATACTCCGGTACACTGAAAACTCAAAAACATTACTGAGAAAAATTAAAGATGACCTAAATAGAAAAATAATGTTTATAGATTTAAAATTTGTATTAAGATGACAATTTTCTCCAAAATGATCTATATATTTAATCCCAACAGTGTCAGGTACTATTCAAGCAAGCATGATTAGGTAAACTGATAAGCTGATTGAAATTCAAACAATTTTGTAAAAGAAAAAATAAGATGGAGGATTTACACTATCTGATTAGAAGAATTATAAATTCAAGAATTATAAAATTATAGTAACAGGCTAGTGTGGAACTGGCATAGGATATAGATAAACAGAACAGAATAGAGTCTAGAAATACACTCATACGCATATGGTTAACTGATTGTAAACAAAAGTGGCAAGGTAACCAAAGAGGAAAAAGATTCTCTTTTCAACGGGCAGTGTTGAAACAACTGGATATCCATATGCAAAAAAATGAACCTTGACCCTTAACTCACACCATACATTACACATACAGGTAAAAGCTAAAGTTACAAACTTCTAGCAGAAAACAGTGGAGAAGGTTTTACACTCTTGGTGTAGGCAAATGTTGCTTAAATGGGACACAAAACCCAGAAACTATCAAAGAAAAAGTGAAACATGGAACTTTATCAAAATTTAAAACTTCTGCTCTTTAAAAAAATACCATTAAGGAAAATTAAATGGGAGGAAATATTTGCAATACATATACGTGAAAGGCTTAAAGGAATATATAAACTCTTACAACTTATTAATAAGATCTACACTCCCTCCACAAAATGGGCAAAAATTTAAACACAAAGCAAAGCAAAAAAGACAAGAAAAAAGATGCAGAAACAGTTAATAGTGCTATGGACTGAGCTGTGTCCCCCCAAAATTCCCATGTTGAAGCCCTACCCAGCATTGTGGCTATATTTGGAGAAGGGGCCTTAAAGAGGTAATGAGGTAATTAAGGCCACAAGGGCGGGGCCCTAAGCCAACAGGACTCGTGTCCTCATGAGAGGAGGAAGAGACACCAGGGATGCGCATGCAGAGAAAAGGCCACGCGAGGGCAGGGAGAGAAAGCTCCAACTGAAGCCAAGGAGAGAGACCTCGTAAGAAACCAACCCTGCTGATGCCTTCATTTTGCACTTTCAGCCTCCAGAACTATAAGAAAATAAATTTACTTTGTTTAAATTACCCAGTCTGTGGTATTCTGTTATGGCAGCCCTAACACAATAAGCTTATAAAAAGATGCTAAATATCATTAGATCTTAGAGAAATGAAAATTAAACCAATGACCTACCACTACACACTCACTGGAATGACTTAAAATGAAAGAGATTGACAACATCAAGTTTGGAGGATGTGGCGCAAGCAGAACTTTCATACAGTAGTGGTGGGGACGTAAAATGGTACAAGCACTTTAAAAAAACAGTTTGGCACTTTCTTATAAAGTTAAACACATACGTACCATACAACCCAGCAATGCAGTTCCTAGGCACTTACCCAAGAGAAATGAAAACAGGTGTGCACAAAAAGACTTGTACATAAGCGTCACAGAATTTTATTCATAATACCTCAAAACTGGAAAGAACCCAATTGTCCATCATCTAGTGAACGGATAAACAATTTATAGGATTCCACAGAACAGAATACTACTCAGCAATAAAAAGGAACAATCTTAACACAAGAAATATCAGGAAATTTTAAAAACAAAAGAAGCCCAAACACAAAAGGATATATATTCTATGATTCCACTTAGACAAAGTCTAGAAAAGAGGAAAGCAGACTAATGGTTTCCTTGGAGCTGGGGCTCGGTTGGGTGGGGAGCTGGGGCTGAATGCAAAGGTGCACCAGGGAACTTTTTGGAGTGACGGAAATGTTCTGTATCTTGCTGTGGTGCTGGCTACACAGGTACATAAGTTTTTTGTCAAACCTCACCAAACTTAAAATAGGTGTATTTTATTATAAGTAAATTATAGCTCAATGAAATTGATTTTAAAACATCAGACAGGCTCTCTGTAGGATTTAAACTAGAGACGAGAATGGAATGCCTTTAGTTAGCAAAAGGAGAACAGAGCAGGCACTCAGAGAGAAGCTCTGAAAGAGTAGCCAGCCACTAAGTGGCTTCAGATTTTCTGGCACACTGGTTCTATACCACACAGAGCACAACAATAAATCTTCCTTTCTTTAAGATGGTGCCCTGAGAAAACCTTTGTTTCTTGCAACTAAAGGAAACTAACAAAACAACTGGCTTCTGAATTTCTATTTTGGTTCCCTCAATAGTATCTGCCACAGAGCAAAATTATTGAAGGCATGAACGATGCACTGATAACAGTGTTATCAATCATATGCTTTGTTGATCTGAATTAATTTTTTACATTAAAAAAATCAGTTCCAGGGCCGGCCCCGTGGCTTAGCAGTTAGGTGCGCGCACTCCGCTGCTGGCGGCCCAGGTTCGGATCCCGGGCACGCACGGACGCACCGCTTCTCCAGCCATGCTGAGGCCGCGTCCCACATACAGCAACTAGAAGGATGTGCAGCTATGGCATACAACTATCTACTGGGGCTTTGGGGGAAAAAATAAATAAATAATATTAAAAAAAAAAAAAGTCAATCATGTTGTGTATGCTGTTTGAATACTCTT